AAAGGGGTCTTATTAAGGAGTTTATCTTTTTTTTTGTAATTTTTTTACACATTTCTGTTTTGGGGAATTGACTTATAAAAAAAAATAATTAAACAATAAAAATAATTTCATGTAATGACTATTTTTGTTTCATTATTTGTTGTTGTAATTTACGTATTGTGATTTTTTTTTGTTTTACTTAAAAATTATTTTTTTTTTGTTTTAATAAAATTTATAATTTTTTATTATTTACAATTTTAATTAATTTATATATATATATATATATATATATATTTCTCTCTCATTTTTCGTATAGAGTAATGTGTGTGTTTTTAAGGGATTTTGTTTTGTAATTTCTTTTAAAGAAACTTGATTTTTTCATTACTTATATGACTATGATATTAACTAAATTAATTATAAGGTTTTTTGTTTTGTTTTTCTACATTCTCTTTTATTTGCTTTAGAAACTAATAAGGAATTTATGCCGGTTGATTTTTTTTCTTCAAAATCAATACCAATTTTTTATATTTTTAATTTTTTTTTATTTAATAACTACATGTGTCCGGCAATCTTTGTGCCATTATTGTTTCATAAAAATGGGCGGGTTTTTTTGCACATTTATTATTTTTTTAGTTTTTCCTTTACACTACTTATTTATTTTTATTTGTATTTTCTTGGTCTTAAAAGTTAAAACTTAATTTAGCTAATAATGTGGCTTTTGAAATTAGTTTTCAATTATTTTTCTTTTGTATGAGTTATGACACTGTGTTTTTTTAGAAAAGAAATGGTTGATTTTATTGTTGTCGGTTCAGTTATGGTAAATCTTGTTACACTGGTCTAATATTTTTGGTAGGGAATTTCAATTTCAAAATGTAACATCTTCAATATATGCGGAATTTCATTCAAAGTAACCGGTATTTGGTTCAAGTAGCCATCAACTGGTTGTATTTAACAATTGGCTCTACGTAATTCCCGGAAACAGGCTGATATTCGAATCGATGTAATCGGTATTCGGTTCAAAGTAACCAGTATTCGGTTCATAGTAACCAATACTTATTTCGAAGTAGCCGGTATTCATTTAAATATTACAAATAATCAATTTCAAATACAGTTTTAAAAATTCTCAACATAATGTAATATGCCGAAATTATTTGATGTACCAAATTTTTATCATGATCATGATAGTATTCGGTACAAAGAAATCGGTAACGGTATGGTGTGGTTAATTTTGGATTTCATCCAATTGAATATGTATCAGTAGTCCATACAAAAGCATCGGATTTGTTGTATTTAAATTGATCACAATATAAGTCAGTATTTGAAGATATCAATGTTCAAGTAATGTACCCAGTATTCCTTCCTATGTATTGGTAAACGGTTTTGATTTTCAATTCCAAATAGTTGGTATTCGGATCGGGAAATTATAATTATTTAAGCTAAGATTTCTATTTTTACTTCTTGAGTCCAATATGTTCGGTATTTGGATCAAGACTTGCAGTATCCAGTTTTCGATTGATTAAATATCCAGTGAAAACAATTTTAATAAAAATTTAATTAATATCAATATTTTAAATTCAAATTGACATTCGGAAAAAGGCAGCTTTATATTGTTGGTGTGCTCAAGAAATATGACAGTAATTCGGTCATATTCAAACTTAATGTAAATAAAATCAATGCTAATAATAAAAAAATATGGAAAACTAGATTCCAATTCTATATTTTCTGAGCCATAAAGATATCTTTTAACCAGGTTTCGTGCAATAATTTTCGATCCCAGATAATATATTTGTGCAATCTCCCTTTTTCGATCGCTCTCAAAAAATTAACTAGTTCCATAGTTCATTTAGTTCTATTTTAGTTCAATCTTTCGGTGGTATTCGATCTTCCAGTTGATTCGATCATTGAAGAGGTAAAAATCTAGCTGAACGATTAGACCCAAAGTAACTAGGTGAACGAGAGGAATATGATGAAAATGAAACAACTGGATCTAGTACCGATCGTTCCTTTTGCGGAATAGTAAAGCGCGACATAAAGTCAATTCAAAGCACTTGATGTTTATTGTTCGTCATTTTGCGTTCATTGCTTTTGGAAATACTTCAGAACATACATAATACTGCTGAGCAATTTCGTTTCAGAAGCGGTTCGTTCTTTTTCGATTCACTGCACAAATGGAACTAATTCCATAGCTTATTAAGTTTCACAATTCCTTTTAGCTCAATCGTTCAGTTAATTCAGCCAATGAACGGTACGATCAAGATGATCGATTGTATTCAAAAGAACTAGGTGAACGAGAACGACTTCAGAAAAAGGAACGACTTGAGCAAAAGAAACTTGATGAGTAAAATAACCAAACCTAGTACCGATCGTTCCTTTTGCAGAATAGTAAAATCCGATTTAAAATTAATCCAAAGCACTTGACCTTCATGGTTCGTTATAACGGATTCTCATACAACTAGGCTTCAGAACTCATATAATAGAGTCGGACAATCTCGTTACAGAAGCGGCTCTATCTTCTTAGGTTTGCTTCTCAAAAAGGAACTAAGTCCATAGTTCCTTTTAGTTCAATCGTTGAGTTAATTCAGTCAATAGACGAGAGTAAAAAGGAACGACTGGGGCAAAAAAAAATCAACGGAAGAACCGGACCTGGTACCAATGAAAGCACTCGAAGTTTTCTGTTTGTCATTTTGGTATGTAGGCTTCTTGAAAATAATTCAGAGTGCATATAGAGTAGACAAATCGCTTTTCTGAACTAGGTCATTCAGTTAGTTCCATTTTTTGTTTAATCGTTCATTGTTCGTTCATCACGTCAGTTAATTCGGTGTAAAAGGAGCTAGATTACCGAAATAATCCTAACTAGTACCACTTGTTCCTTTTGCGGAATAATTTCGTTTGAACTAGTTCGTAACGGAACGACACAATTCGATCACATAATCAGATCTTGAGGAAGGAAGAGTACCTCTTTTCTATGTCATTCATTTGTGGGAAATTTGGTTGAAGACCTCAAAAACTCTCAAAATACCCAAAAAAAGGTAAGGTTATACGGGGGCAATATCTAAAAGTGGAATAATACTTTTTTGATGTGGAAATTTGATATCTAAATCGAATTCATAAATTCAAATTACAGCCAATTTGTTTAGGCACATGAAACACATAAAATATCGAACCGAAAATTGCAGGGTTTCTAATTCTTTGGGGTGATACCGATGAACCGATATTTATTATTTTTTGTCGAGGATTTCTCCACCTAATGACACTGAAAATATTAAATTACAGCCAATTTAGTTGGAAAGCGTGCCCGAAATACTTCAAATACCGAAAACTGGAAGGTCAATACCTAAAAGTGAGCTGATATTGATAGTTTTTAGTAGGGAGATTTTCTATCCAATGGTAACCTAAAATCATTAATAATAGCAAATTTGATGATAATTTTTGAAAAGCAAGTAACGGAAATCGGAAGGTTGTGGATTATATTTTTTTTAGCAACGATGATTGCTATTGTCAGGGATCTATGTCAGGGATCAAATGTAAAAATTGTTCGCGATTTGAAAATGTGTCCAAAAGTACCGGAAATGGGGAACTTTAAATATGTAAACAATTCTTAAATTAAATATAGCTCACATCTTTGAATTTGACCTGATTGCGGAGAAAACAATAATGCCGGTCGAAAAAAAATTGAGGGACCAAAATCGACGTTAATGGATTGGAAAAATTATTAGTTTTTTTTTTTTTAATCCGAAGTGCCCAATACGGCAGGACCTTATATAGGTTCTAAAATGATTATTTCAGAGGGTTACAACGGATGGTATACAAATATTGCAGAGCAAAATTGTTGCCAAATTATCCAACAAATCTGCGGATTTTTTCTAGACCTTTTCTAGACATTGTTGTGTAGGGTTTAGAAATCTTGACTCTTAGCCGTTACAATTTTGAAATGAACCTCAAAAAATTGCCAAGTAAAAAATTCCCCAACAAATCGGTTGATATTTTCTTGACCAGTGTAAAGACCTATGTGTTTGTGTGTGAGCGTGTATATACGGACTGTATAGATTTATATTTTTGTTATTTATTGCAATGTAATTAGAAAAAAAATCCGACTTAAAGAAGTAACAAAAAAAAAATTAACTGACTTGCTAAAAATTTATTTGATGTTTGTATGTATGAGTATGTTTGCTGTTATTGTTGTTGCTATTATTATTTTTATGTAATTGTAATATACATTTACAAACATTCCAAAAAACCGTATATATCGTATGCGTGAATATATACAAATTAAAAACTGTGTATGCGGATTCTATATACGTATTATTTTTCCTACGTACACATATGTTTGTCTGTATGTGTGTATTTGTAACTTTTATTGTTCCTCTTAGAATTGTTTTAATTGTTGCTGAAACATTAAAACATTATCCATACCCATTGAGCTGATGCTGTTGTTGTTGTGGAGGCCATGACTTGGTCCTTCTCTTGTTGAGGTTGTTGTTGTTGCTGCTGCAGGTGGTTGTGGCGATGTTGAAGGTGTTGTTGTTGTACTTAAGACTTGTAAATTATTTTTATTTTTATCCGTTTCGCAGGCGAGAGATTGTTGACTGTGCGAATGTTGTTGTTGTTGGAGATGATGATGGTGTGATTGTTGTTGTGGCTGTGGCATCATTTGGTGGGTAGTTGTATTGTTGTTATTATTATTGTTGTTGCTGTTGTTATTGTTATTATTTAAACTATTTAGGTGGTTTTGCATTAATTGTTTTGCATGATGACGAGCCATTGCAATGGATGTGGGGCAATTGCCACTATCCCTTCCGGATGCTGATGTTGCAGCAATACTCAAATAGGTGTTGTACAAGTCATGTTGCTGATGATGATGGGATGATGCTGATGATGACATTGATTGTTGCTGCTGCTGCTGCTGATGATGATATTGACTAAATTGTGACGTTGCATGTCGTTGATTTGTGATGTTGTTGCTGCTAGCATTATTAAATTGTTGTTGCTGCTGCTGATGATGATAATTGTCTAATTTATTATTACTGTTGTTGTTGTTGCTATGATTTCCATTTGGCTATGTTGTCCAACCGCCGGATATTCTGGGCCGCTTATGCGCCTGATTTGGCCCATCGTAATCATTCAAATGCTGTTGTTGCTGCTGCTGGTGTTGCTGTTGTTGTTGCTGCTGCTGCTGGCGCATATCCGGCGATGGTATATTGCTCGGCGTCACAGAACCTGCATTAATAAATATAAAATCTGCATTACAGAAAAGAAAAAGAGATGTGTAATTAGGATGGTGTGATTCTCTCTATACATTTTATCTTTTTCGATCGAAGAGACATTTTTTAATTTGGCATTTTTTGCATTCGCAGTGGTAGTTGTTGTTGCTTTTAGTTGGTAGCGAGTTAAGACCGGTTAAGAGAGTTGAAGAAAGATTTTCATTAGTTGTAAGGGAAATATTGTCATGATTTCATGAAAATGAAAGCAAAGCGTATTTTTAGAGGAACAGAGGGAAGGAAGAGGGGGTTATGGAGAGGTGGATCAAGGACTCGAAGACTCCTCAAAAGTGTCAATTAAGTTTGGGTAGAAACATAACCAAAATTCGACTCTTAAGGAAGGCTACGATTCTTTGCCAATGAGTTGAGGGACTTCCTTTTATTGTCCCAAAAAAATTAAAAAAATATGTTTTAAGAGAAAAAAAAAAAATAGCCGGCATGCATAAAGAAGACGCTTTTTAGTTAGTAATGGTAAAATGTGCTGATTTTTGTTTTTATAATTGAAATCTCATTTTCCTAGTATTTATAAAAAATTGTCTTCATTTAAAAAAAATTAAGAACAAATATATATATATATATATATATATATATAAAAGAAAAGATTTTAAGTTTTTCCAATAAAAATTTTTCTTAATTTAAAAAAAAAAAATCCTAATATTTTTCGAAGAAAAAAATTTAGATATTATTTCTTAAGAAAAATTTTTAATTTTAATTACTAATTTTCATATTCTTAATTAAAAGCCAGTGAGCGGAGCAGTATAGAGGACGCGGCCGACCATACGATACCCTACACAACTACCACAGAACTCTAACTTTCTGCGGATTTTTATTCCGAGGCTGGGTTATATTTCGTGATAGTTGCACCCTCTTGCCCGATTAGTGGTCAACAGCACCTCTTCCTTTTATTTCTCGTGTAATACTAATATTCAGTACAGCCCTTCTAATTACTTGTCTATATTCCCTTCACCGTGGGTTGTGTTGTGATGTTCGGCTTATAATTGTAGCCTATAGATTGAATCGAAAAAAAAACACAAAGAATAAGTTTTCGGTCCACTTCATCCCAAAATTATTATCTGATCATGACCGAAAATTATAGGCGTTGTACTTGACCGTAACTGGAACCTCATGGATCATTTCAAAACGATCAGCGCTATATTTTCGCCCTCTAGTGGGGTAATGGTTTATTAAATAATATGTGAATACGTAAGCACCTGTAACTCCCACATCCGAGTACATACGACAATATAATTGGTAAAAATTTAAAGGCCAACGGCTCCTCTTGGATATACTATCAACTTTTCATTTTCACACAAAAGTCAGGGTCCATTTGACCATCTAAATATTGGTCGATTATTAAAACAGGCATGCTTATTCTTTGGCCCAACCCGTTTCTTCATGTAACAATTCGAGATGTTTGGGCCATAATTGCGGCCTCTGAAGCGACCCGAAAAAACGACAAAAATTAAGTTTCTGGTCCATTTCATTTCCTAGATATTAACCGATCTTTACAAAAAAATAATGGGGGTCTTCATTGGCCAGAACCCACCCTATATACAAAATTTCCTGAAGATTGGTCCATAATCTACATTGACCAAATCCCCTTCTCCATGTAATTGCGGCCTCTGGAGCGACCCGAAAACCCGACAAAAATTAAGTATATGGTCCATTTCAGTTCCTAAATTTTAACCGATCTTTACCAAATACAATGGGGTTTTCATTGGGCCGAAACCATCCTACATGCAAAATTTCGTGAAGATTGGTCCATTGGTCCATCGTGTTTACAAATTATAATGGACAGAGGGACGGACGGACACACATGTCTAGATCGACTCAGCTAGTCGAGATATGACAATCGGTATACTTAAAGGTGCGACTAGGACCAACATTTTTTGGCGTTACAAACTCTTGGGGCTGCACAAAGCTATAATACCCTTACAGCATAGTTGTGTAGGGTATAAAAATCAACGCTCTGATATTTTTAGGAAAAATATTTTTATTTTAATCTACGCTCTGATATTTTTTGAGGAAAAATATTTTTTTAAAAATCTACGCTCTGATAGTTTTAGGAAAAATATTTTTTAAAAATCTACGCTCTGATATTTTTAGTAAAAATATTTTTTAAAAAGTCTACGCTCTGATATTTTTAGGAAAAATATTTTTTTTTAAAAATCTACGCTTTGATATTTATAGGAAAAATAATTTTTTATTTAAATCTACGCACTGATATTTTTAGGAAAAATATTTTTTTAAAAATCTACGCTCTGATATTTTTAGGAAAAATATATTTTTTTTAAAATCTACGCTCTGATATTTTTAGGAAAAATATTTTTTTTTTAAATCTACGCTCTGATATTTTTAGGAAAAATATTTTTTAAAAAGTCTACGCTCTGATTTTTTTAGGAAAAATATTTTTTTAAAAATCTACGCTCAGATATTTTTAGGAAAAATATTTTTTTAAAAATCTACGCTCTGATATTTTTTGGAAAAATAAAAATTTGTAAAGCCACATAGCCCAATATGCCTGATGAGCCGCTTAACCAACGGCGAAACGCGTCGCATAAGGGTGGGTACGAAGGTTCTTCTCCTGGCTTTCCTTTTCATTGCAAAACTTAGATCATCAAGCTCGACTCGAAAGAGTATAAATAATCACTGAAAAATAATTTTTTTTAAAATCAACTCTCTGTTATTTTTAGGAAAAATAATTTTTTTTAAATCTACGTTCTGATATTTGTAGAAAAATATTTTTTAAAAAATCTACGCTCTGATATTTTTAGGAAAAATATTTTTTTGAAAATCTACGCTCTGATATTTTTAGGAAAAATATTTTTTTAAAAATCTACGCTCTGATATTTTTAGGAAAAATATTTTTTTAAAAATCTACGCTCTGATATTTTTAGGAAAAATATTTTTTTTTAATCTACGCTCTGATATTTTTAGGAAAAATATTTTTTTAAAAATCTACGCTCTGATATTTTTAGGAAAAATATTTTATAATGACCTATGCCCTGAGAGTCTTAGGAATAATATTCTATGTACTGTGATTTTTTAAAAAAATATATAAAACCGACGCAATGTGAGCTTTTAGGAATATGTTAATAAAAAATCTATTCTCTGAAGATTTTAGGAAAGCATTTATTTAAAAATGCTTTGATAACGACGGAAAATATTATTTATAAAAATATATGCTCTGAGAGTCTCAAGAAAAAATTTCCTAAGAAATCGACATTCAAATCATTTTAGAAAAAAAATTGTCAACAATGAATATGAAAATCTTAGAAAAATATTATTTAAAAATTCGAAAATAGCCTGAAGAAATGATTCTTAATTCTAAGGAATTTTTTTCTTTAAAAACCTACGTTCTTATAACTTATGAACAATATTCGTATTTCTGAGAGACTAAGGAAAATGCTATTTTTAGGAAAAATATTTTTTTTAAATCTACGCTCTGATATTTTTAGGAAAAATATTCTTTAAAAATCTACGCTGTGCTCCCATAATCTTGGGGAAAATATTCCTAATTCTACAAACTGCATATATAGGAAATAAAATTCTTTAAAAATTGTATCTGTTCTAAAATCTACTTTCATGATAGTCTTACTAAAAAGGTGCTTTAAACATCTTCGCTTTGGTAGTTTTAGGAAAATTATTCTTAAAAAACAGATTCTCCCAAAAAATTTGTTCTCTCGATAGTTTTATGAAAATCATTCATAAAAAATACTCTCTCGAATGTTTTAAGAAAAATGTTCATAAAAGAATGTACGCTCTAATACTTATAGGAATAATATTCGTAAAATTTGTAGGAAAAATAGACGCTGGTTATAGTAATAAGAAAAATATTCTTAAAAAGCAATGCGATAGTTTTAGGAAAAATATTTTTTTTTAAATCAAAATGGATTTTGTGCAGGTTGTTTTATGAATTCAATGCATTTTTGTGATAGGTCAACATGTACTGGGTCAATTTAGATTATTTGAATCAATTTGGGTCAATTTTGATTATTGCAACAAAATAACAATTAAATTCTAACCAAATATATAAAGAATGAAAAATGAAAAAAATAATAAAATGATATGACAAATGAAGAGATGAAATGAAGAAAAACAAAGTATTGGAAATTTTGGTTTTTTGAGAATGGAAATTTTGTTATGAAACAACAAATATTAGAATATATGGAAAACAATGAAGTGAACAGGGGATTTGGGTAGGGGAAGAGAATGCTAATTACGATAACGTATATAAAAAATGAGAAATGAGAAGAACTTCATATATATCTAAAATGCCATAATATTTCGAAGATTTGACATTAGTGACTTCATTAATTTCACTTCAAAACTCTTCTTTTCTTTTTTCAAAAGTTTAAATGTATAGAGAGTTGGTCGGGGTGGTGGTGTGTGGTGGGAAACAAATGTGAAGCCAATTTACCAAAATTCCATATTCTAGGATTCTGACCCAGTTGTGACCGATATGTATAACCTTCGTATTTATCTAGGCCTATAAAAAAGTTGGGATTATTTTTGTGTTAAAGAGAGAGAAAAAACAAGGTTAATATTTTTTTAGCAAAGCCACACATATATAAATATTTTTAATGGTTTTTAAATAAATTATAATTAAAATTTGGAAATAAAGAGGATGTTAAAAAATGATGGCAAGTGTAAGCGTTATATTAGCATTGCCAGCCACAATCCATCATTTGAAAATTTTGAAAAAATAAGTCATATTTTGAGCCAAATTAGTAATGGAAAATTAAAAAAAATAATAATTAAATGTTGAAAAAAAAAAACACTTACCCGGTGTCGGTGTTAAATGACCCGTCGATGATGGTCTTGAACCAGCCATGACCAAATGCTGTTGTTGGCTATGATTTAAAACGCTTAAATTTGTTGCCTGATCATTTGCCGAGCCATTGGACGTTGAGGAAGAATTTGATGCATTACCACTGCCGGCGATGCCGCCACCACCTCCACCATTGCCACCGCCGCCACTACCAGCGCCTAAAGGACTAGAACCAGCTATAACTCCAGCTCCACTGTTGAGACTTAGGCCGCCGGTATTAATCGATAAGGAGTTATTTAAATTATTGGCATTGATATTGGAGTGACTAGAAGAAGAGCCCGGACCGCCATTGCCCCCACCACCATTGCCGCCGCCGCCGCCATTGGTGGTATTTGTAGAACCATTGCTACTGTGCTGATGGCCACCGGAGAGATCACGTGGAGGAGATTGAGGCTCGGATTTGACTTTGATGCTGACGGGTGATGTGGCGGGTGGTGGTGTACTATTGGAAACACTTAGATGGGAGAGCCTGCAAATAAAAAAAACACATTTTTTTAATATAAAAAAATTAGAATTTTCTGCCATTTCACTTACCCCGTTTGATGTACCAAACCCTGATGTGTACTCCAGGTGGGTAAACTCATCACATCCGGGGTGTTCATGGAAAAGTCTTGCGGTACAAATGGATAGCCCTGCAGCGCAGTTATGGATGTCATAACGGGAGTATTTAATGTTGATTGATTGTGGCGCTAAAGGAAAATTGATGAAACAATTATTATTATTATGAGATTATAAAATTTTGAATCTCTGGAACTTACATCATTATAATTTAATTCATCGGCAGCACTGGACATATTTTGAGCAATTGTGGGTGTCGGTATAACTACTCGCAAATTGGAAGATCGTCCATTTTGACTGCCTGGCGATTGTTGTTTATGTGTTAATTGATGAGCTGTGTGTGTGAGAACAATAAGAAGAAGAAAATAAAAATTAAAAAAAGTTATTAACGGTTGTATAAATCACACAAGGAAAATGGGGTGTTAAAATTGAGGAAAGTATTTAGGAGGGTTATTAGAGAAGAAATTTTAAATACTAAAACTTGTTTATTTTTAAGTTATTGTTTTTATGGGTTAAATGAAAGCATGCAGTTGTATTATTGTTTATTTGAAACATTTTTCTTTAAATAAATAATTGTTAGAGATTAATATAAATAAATAAAAATAAAAAAATTGTGTATTTTTTGAAAAAGTTATACAAAGACCTTGTATTGGGTGCCAATACAGAAAATGTATTAAATTTCAATAGTATTGAATTCTGTGGTTGAAGGTAATACTTAAATTCATATTTTCCATAAATTATATTTTATTTTTTCCATAATTATATTTAATACTTAAGTATATACATAGGCTTTGCATTGGGCGCCAATACAGAATTTTTATTTTATTTCTATTGATTTGAGATCTGTGGATGAAGGCAATACTAAAATTCATATTTTTGCATTAATAATATTAATTTACATTAATTATCTCCATAAAAAAATAAGTAAAAATATTGGAATTGAAAAATCTGCATTCGCTGGGCGCCAATATAATTCTTTTGTGATTTTGAACCTTTATTTGGGGAAATTACTAATTTGGATATAAATAAATAAAAATACTAACACTGAATAGTTGGCTTGACGTTGGGCGCCATTATTTTGAGATTTCTAAGTTTTAATTAGGCAATTACTGAACTTGGGAAAGGGAAAATAGATTCACAGCATATTGAAAATTTAAGCTAAAAAATAATAAATCTTAATATGCCAGTTGGGCGCCATAATTCTTTTGTAAGCTTTTTATTTCTATTATATTTTCTCTTTTAAAATAAAAAAAAATACAAAAAATACGTTGGTCCCCAATATAACTCGTATGCGATTTTAAACCTTTATTTGGGGGAAATTACTTTGAATGTTAATTTAGCTAATTTGGATATTAAATTAATTTAATGAAATAAAAAAATAATATACTGGCATTGAAAAATAAAGTTGACGTAGGGCGCCAATATCATTCTTTTGAGATGTACATGTTTCATTTTTTATTTAATTTTTATTTTTATTTTTTATTTCTGAAATTTTAAATTAAGTCCTATAGTTCATATAAAAATAATAATAATTTAAATCATAAATTGAAAACGACAAAATATGTTGTAGGAGGCTTATATTTATTTTTCAAAATTAAAACCCAAAATAAAACCAGTGAGCGGAGCAGAATAGTCGGACGGGACCGACCGTACGATACCCTACACAACTACCACGGAACTCTAACTTTCTGCGGATGTTTATTGGGCAATAAATCGTGATATTTGCACCCTCTTGTCGGTTAGAGGTTAACAGTACCTCTTCCTTACACTGACTTAAATTCTGAATATTACTAATATTCGGTACAGCGCTTCTAATTATTTGTCCAGATTCCCTTCACTGTGAGTTGTGTTGTGATGTTCGGCTTATAATTGTGGCCTATAGATCGACTCGAAGAAAAAATTATAGGTGATGATCAGATAATAATAATAATATAGGCGTTGTCCTTGACCACAACTGGAATCTCATGGAAAATGTCACAGCGATCAGCGCTATATTTCCGCCTTCTGGTGTGGTAATGGGTTACTAATCAATATCTCCTGTTAGTATTTAAGTGTAACCCCCACATCTTAGTACATACGACCATATAATTGGTATCAATTTAAAGCCCAACCACTCCTCTTGAACATACTATCAACTTCTCGGGTCTATGTCCTTCTTGGGTCTATGTCCGCCATAGAATACACATTTTGTAATTTTTTACACAAAAGTCAGGGTCAATGTGACCAATCTTTATCAAAACATGCATGCTTATTCTTTGGCCCGATTCCCTTCCCCATGTAAAAATTCGCGATGTTTGGGTCATAATTGCTACCTCTGGAGTGACCAGGAAACCGACAAAAATTTAGTGGTTGGTCCATTTCATCCCCTAAATATTAACCGATCTTTAACAAAAACAACATTCGTGAAGATTGGTTCATAACTGTGGCCTGTTTTGCGTTTACAAATTATAATGGACAGACGGACGGACACATGTCTAGATCGACTCAGCTAGTCGAAATATGACGATCGGTATACTTAAAGGAGGGTCTAGGATCAATATTTCGCGGCGTTACAAATTCTTGGGGCTGTACAAAGCTATAATACCCTGACAACATAGTTGTGTAGGGTATACAAAATTTAGATTAAGTTTAAATACTATTTAACTCAATATTAATACATTTTCAAAGTATAAAAAATCTGGAAAACTCTAATTGGACGCCAAAAATTATTTTCCTTTTCTAATTTGGATTTTAGAAAATAATTTTCTTAAATCAAAAGAAATTATTTTATTTCAAATGGAGACTATCATACATTAAAAAAAAACATTAACAGTATTAAGCACCGTATTCCGTTACCCAGCTTGGGCGCCAATAATATTTATTAAAAATTTGCTTTAAAAAATGAAAAATGAATAAGAAGAAATCGATTTTTTTTAAAATTAGACTTAAAATTGAATTGAAAATTGAATTGAAAACACGTTGGGCGCCATATTCCTCATAATTAATGTATTTGTAGAATTCAAAGTTTTTGAAAAGAATTGAAATATATTATTGGGCGCAGTTTATGCCTTAAGAAAATTTTCAAATTGCATATTTGCGCCAATGAACATGACATTTCATAATAAAGTGGATTACAATTATTCGTTTTCTACCGGGAATTGGAGTGATTTTTGGTGAATCAAAACAAATCCCGTTTTTTTTCAAATGTGACCTTACGTTGTTCGCCATTATTATTTTTAAGCTATTTTCGGAAATAAATTTAAATGTAATCTAAAGCTCATACTCAAATCAAATACTATTTTAAATATTGTTTTATCATATTTCATCGCCACGTTGGGCGCCAAAAGCATTAATAATATTAGTATAAAATATTATTTATCTACATATAATATTATTTAAATATTTGGATTAATACATATGGAAAATTTACAAGTTTATAAAATATATATTATGAATGAAAAAAAAAAAAATTATTTCAAAAACATGCCATTCTAAAAAAAAACATTCTAATTATTGTTTTGTTATAAAAAAAAGCTAATGTTAAGCTATTTTTTTTAATTATTAATTTAGCTAATATTGGAATATTAAATTAAATAATTTAAAGAAAAATTAGAAAAAAATGTGGTAATAATTATATAAACGCCCACCTATGCCAGGACTTGGCCCCGGACTGGGAGAACCAACAAGCGGCGAATGTGAATGAGGATAACCATTAGACATCTCCAACATAGAACCAGATGGATATACTATTTTTTGTTGTTGTTGTAATTGTTGTGTTGCATATTAAAGATGATGGTGATGATGAGTTAAAAAAAATTATCCACCAGAAAACAAATAGGATGTAAATGATGATGATTTTTGTTGTTGTATTTTGTAATGATGATGAAACATATGATTGGTTTTGTTTTAATGTTGTTGTTGCATTAAATTGATGTTGTAGTTGTTGTTTTTTGTTGTTGTTGTAATTGAAAGAAATAGAAAAAGAAACATATTTTTTATAAAAATAAAATTCAATTCAATTTAAAAAAAATAATTATATAGAAGAGAGATATTTGTAGAGGTATTTTTGAAATGAAACAAAACAATCGTGCATAAGAGAGAGAGAGAGAGAGAGAGGGGAGGAGGGCGCACGAGAAGAAGTTGAGGAAGTGTTTTTGGAGGGGAAAGACAAAGGTTGGGAGTTTAAGGCAAGATCTTCATTTGGAGGAGAGTGTTGTAATTTTTTTTTTGAATTTTGTAAGAGTAAATAAAAACGCATTTCAAAACAATTCATGCACAGTGGGTTAATATCGAAAATTAAAAATAAAATGAAAACAAAAGATGATTGAAGTTTGTAGTTAAATTATAAAAAAATTAGGTGTTGCAAAAGTGAAAAAATCCGCATTTGGCATAAGACTTATAAATGTTACGTTGGGCGCCACTGCATAAATTTAGCTTGAATTTATAGTTTTTTTTTTCAATATTTTATCAGGATTCTCACTTAAATGCTACGTTGGGCACCAATATACTTTTAGGCAATGTAACCCAAGACAGACATTTGGTGCATAATTTAGCTTGCATTTATAGTTTTTTTTTAATTTTTTCAGGATTTTCTCTTAAATACTACGTTGGGCGCCAATATATTTTTTACGATGTAACCCAAGATAAAAATTTTATGTTGGTCTCCAAAATTTGTATTTATGATTATTTTCAGATCAACGATGTAATTAAGGATAGGATTTTCCTCTACGTTTCACATTGGGCGCCAATTATATTTCTTTGTGATTTTTGAAAAAAAGTTGGTCTAAGATTAGGTCGAATTTATTTATTGAATAGCAGTTTGAATTTTGGCCCACGATTCACCTTTGGGCGCCAAATTACATAATTTATCAGCAGGCTGTTAGCTAAGACTTGAAGGATCAATGCGAAGGCCAACATTTTGCATAATAAATTGAATATTAGTTTCAACCTTTTTGTCACTATTGGCGACATCACGTTGGACGTGGCGTGGATTTTTTTAGCCGTTTTTCACTAAAATTATTCTGAACAGCTAAGATTTTGTTCTGAGCTAAGGACCTTGAGCGCCAAAAATATGTTTTTTCACAAGCACGGTGATTCCTAAGATTTGTGGGGGTTCAGAAAATGTAATTATTTGCATAACTACGTTCTACAGAACTATAGTCTGAGTAAAGGAAGGTGATTTTTCTGGCATTATACCTGACATAACGTTGGGCGCCACTTACTTTTTTTTTGGTGTATTTACTAAGATTGTTCTATACAATCCAGTATTTTGGAACATAAGGTTCCAGATTCCAAGCTGAGTGAAGCTCATTTTTTTGTGATTTTGTATTAAACTCCTTGTTGGGCGCCACTTTACTTTTTAGGCATTTTTAACCAATCTTAATTGAGGAAAAATATTTTTAACTTATTTTCCATACATTGATTTCAAAACTAGCTTGGGAACCAATATTTCGTTTTTTTTTTGGTAACCAATGGAAATGTTTTACGTTGGGCGCCAAAATTTTTGTTTACATATTTTTATGGATGGGCTCGTAAAGAGTATTGGGCGCCGGAAATTATTTTTTAGGATGTGGTAAATTAGAACATATTTAAAAAGATCAAAGACATTTTTTGGCGATTTTAGTTTAAATTTTATGTTGAGCGCCACTATCCTTTATTGGCACTTTAAATGAATTACTAAATTTTATTATTATTTTGGAGAAGTATGTTTTGTAATCTGAGTGTGTTTTTATTCAATTATGGCCATACAATGAATTATGGACATAAAACCACGTTGGGCGCCAATAATTATTTCTTGCATATTATGTTTCTCCAAAACAAAAAATTTTGTATTTGCGATTTTTGGCATTTTTGTCAACACGATGTATATTTTTTGCAACGTTTTACATCTGCGTGAATTTTTTTCTGCATTTTGTGAAAATTTGCCGAGGTTGGGCGCTATTTATATGTTTTTCAGATGTAGTTTGCAGTAGAATAATTTTTTTCTGGAGTGACTGAAGACTTGTGGAGAAATTAAACATTTTCTGAGCAATTTGGGCCCCACGTTGGGCGCCATTATCAATTTTTTCATTTTTGCAACACTCAGGTGGTTAATGGTTAAATAAAAAATTAAGAAAAAGTTAAAAAGATTAATAAAAAAGTTTAAAAATAAAAAAATTAAATCAAATATAATAAATAATAATATAACAAAAAAATTAAAATAAATAAAAAAACAAATAACACAAAAAACAATTATATAAGAAAATGTGTGTTGTGCTGTTTTTCGTTTTCACGTTTTTCTTTTTGCGCAAACACCTCTGTTTTACTAACTTATCAATGACATCCCACCTGAATCCGTTTCCGAACTCGATGGTCGTGGACTAATATTTGTGTGGGACATTTGTGGACTTGTCTGTAGCATATTATCACCATAGGCCCCAGCAACTGGCACTGATACGGGTAGCATATAATTGGTATTTGACATATTCCGGCCGGATGTTGTACCGCCCGCCATATGATTGCGATTCATCACCAATTGAAATTCCTCATCGATTTTATTGTATTTGGCTTCGGTACGTGGCGTTAGGGTGTAATCGGCTTCCTGTTCGGGTGAATCGGGTGACATGACACCATTTTTGTTCTCCTTCTGAAATGGAGAAGAGAGAATCTATAAATTTTACATAAATGTTTAGTAAATGTTTTGATATGTTTTATTTGTTGGTGATCAATTACAATTAGAAAAAAGAGATTTTGGCAGCAGAGGATAGGGGAGAGGAAGTAGTATAAAAAATTGTTATTATTTTTTTGCTCTACTTCTCAGTTCTGTCTGAAATTTTGAATTTGTATGCTTAAATATTCATAGAGCTTGCATTAAAGTAACAAAACTTTTCGAAAAAAACTTGTCAAAATCAATTTCAAAGGCAAAGAGGAAGTCAATAACTAGAAAATAAATACAAAAACAAAAAAATAAATACAAAAAGAAAAAACAAAACAAAATCATCATGCAAATAATACCCAATTGGGTATAAGATTAAATATTAACAACAAATACACCATTATGTCCTTCCTTTGGTATTGAAATCTATAGTAAATTTTGTTTTCGACAGTACACAAGTTCAAGTTTTTTTTGTTGTGTGCAGGGCAATATTCTAAGGAATCGTTTATATGAATTACTTATAACCAATGAGAATAATAAAAACAAAAACAACTATAACTACAATAAAAGCATACTGGAACTTTGAACTAGAGAGTGAGAGAGAGAGAGTATCAGGAGGAGAGAACAGTAAACACACAAAAAATATTACTTCATAAATTATTCAAAAAGTCCCTTTAAACATTTGACGTACATAGTTGCTGTATTGAACAAATAAAAACTAAGGAAATGCTTCGGCACAGTGGTTTGAAATAGAAAATAAAACAAAAGTTTGGAAGACTATTTCTAGAAATAAAAAAAATCTTTGAAACAATTTGTTTAATATACTCCAAATAATTATATTAAGGATAAATTTTAAGCTTGCTATTTAAAAGAGATTGAAATTTAATTGCCCCATTTTGGGCGCCAAATGGTTTTTAATCATATTTTCGCAGACAAAATAACGTTAGGCGCCAATGTGTACATGTACTTAAGTATGAAGATCAAAGACTCCTGGACAATGATACATTTTTGAACATTCTGCCATACAAATGAAGTTGGGCGCCATTGCATGTTTTGGTCAGAGTGGTATTTTTGGGAAATTATTGACATAATTAATCATGGGACCCAATATAAATTTCTTTCTTTTGAGATTGTGTCAGCCAACAAAGTTTCATCGATCGCCAATTGATTTATCTTTGAGTTCTAAAATATCGATTTACCGAAGCAATGCCGAGAAATCCGATAGTTATTAAAATATTTTTCATAGATGAACTCTAAAATTAGCTCGGGCGCCAACATATAGAAATATGATTAAAATTTATTAATGATTCAACAATTTTCTATACATGAACTCTAAACTAATCATCTGAGCGAATTTTTCAAGACTTAACCACGAAAACATTTAAATGCCCAACATTGGGCGCCAATTTGAATGTTATATTATTTGGCAGAAATTTTTCGAAAAATTACTTTGGAAGCCAAGTTTTAATTTTGAAAAGAGAATGTTGGGCACCAAATTTAAAATTGTTTAGATAAATAACAATGAATTACTATTCTAGGGAAAACTGTCATTTAATTGCCACATGTTGGGCGCCTAAATAAATTTTAACCACATCTTCCATAGAGCTGTCCCCAAGTCATATTGTTTATCAATATGAGATGTGTTGTTTCAATAGGGTAAAGGTGCCGATCTGCGCGAAGTTCCGCATTTTTTGTTTTGTAAAATTTCATGTTTTAAATCATATCGTTTTAACGCCCATATGTTGACCTTGGTAAATTAGACCAAGAACAAGACTTCGATCTGAACCTAAGTCAGTTTTTTTTATAATTTTGGCATGAATTCCACGTTGGGCGCCAATATTGTTTTTAGACTTATCAAAATCAAAATGATCTTCTAAATAACTATACTCATATTGGGAGTGTGATGTTAAGTGAATTATTGACATACATTAAAAAAAACACGTTGGGCGCCAATATATACTTATTGAAGGGAAAGTTTGTTGGAAAACTAAAACCTCCAATGTTTGTGGGTCCCCAATATGTATATTTTATGTATTGGTGAATTATAGCCCGTTTCTAGCGACCATGGACTACGATATGAGCGATGAACCGTTTTTAGTGAGTTTAGCATGTTGGGCGCCACTTTAATTTTTATCGATTTTAATCACTATTATTTTTGTGGAGAAATATGTTTAGGCCTGAGTAAAAATTTGAGTCTAAGAGAAGGATACAAATTTACTTTTCCGATATTTTTAATTTACCACGATAGGCGCCTTTTTATATTTTAAACGCTAAAAGTGGAACTGATTGTTCTAGAGAACTGTGTTTGTGTGAGAGTGGATACAATGGAAGCCGAAATAGATTTCTTGAAGACAATGCAGTCTCCAGCAGTTTGGTCTGAGGAAAGAATTTTATTTATGGCATAAATTCCACGTTGGGCGCCACTATATGTTTTATTATATTATTAGGTGCAATGGAGGAAATTCGATTTTTGTCTAATTAATGTTAAAACATTGTATATTTTAGGGTTTGTTCGCTGAAAACACTATTTGAGAATTACTGACTGAAAAAACACGTTGGGCGCCAAAATAATATTTTAAGACCGCTTATCAACGGATTTGGTTGTGGAACAAATATTTTGTGCATTGAGAACCATCACTAAGCAATGCTATGCAAAAGTGACATTATTTAATATAACTGGAATTAATTTGTAAAATATGCCCCACGTTGGGCGCTATTTACATTTTTTTAATAAAGGTTATGTTTTTAACAAATATATAATCGTTCTTATTAGTTATTTTTTCAGAATATAATTAATTTTGAACTCAAAAACACAAATATTCGAATGAGTCCCACGTTGTTCGCCAATATTTTTTCATGTTAAGGTTTATAAAGGATGACGTTTTCGAATATACAATTTCTTGCTTTGGAAGCTATTTATTTTGAATTTAGAAAAATGTATCGTTCGAATGAGTCTCAGAAAAGGATTTCGAATGAGGGCCACGTTGGGCGCCATTTATATTTTTTCAAATGAGGGACACTTTAGTCGCCATTTATATTTTTTACAGTCATGTCATGGCTGTATTAAAAATGAACGTTGGGCGCCATTTTTTTTTTAATACATTACATAGTATTTGATGTAAATTTGTATTACTCTTTCATCTAGGAAGGACAAAGTTGTTGTATTTGTGTGCATATTTTTTCTAAATTTTGAAAATGTGTGAAAGCTTTTTGAAAATTTCATTAGCCAATAGCAAAAAATTAAAACTTACCTCGATTATGTTTTTATTGGTTAGCGATTCATGTGGTTCATTGTATTCTGTGTATTTGAGTAGGACTTTGTCCATATCTGTGCTGGCATATTGATAGAGTTTATTGCTCGATGAGAAGATGATCAATGCTATTTCGCAATCGCATAATACCGATAATTCGTAGGCCTTTTTCATGACGCCAAATTTGCGTTTGTTAAAGGTAACCTGAAAAAAAATAAATAAATGGAGATAATGAATTATTATAAAATATGAAAATATGAAATAATTTAAAAATAAAAAATTGGATCGGTTGGTGACCTATATAAAATAAAATATATTAATTTTAGATGCAGCAAAAATCAATTTTTTTTAAGATCTAGGAAAGGCTTGTATTTAAAAAATCATATTTTTTTAACATGGAATGTATTTTTATAAAAATATTTTTACCCAATGAGGGTTGCATTTTTTAGAAACTATTTTTTTAGCTTACCTGTCGGTTCCTTTCATCTGTTATGCGGGATATTTGAATCTTTTTTCTGCCCATTGTTACTGTTGTGTGTTTGTTGTTATAAAAACCGTTAAAAATCCGTGGTAAAAAAGTTTTCCTTTTTCTATCTTATTCTGAATGTCTTGGGTGGTGAGTATTTATTGTATTTTCCTAAAACCTAGTCTCTAGGTTTTTAATTTTCTTTTGTTATATGGAATTATATTCTTTACAGAAAATTAAAACACACACGCACTGACACAAAAAGTCGAATGTGATGGTGTGTGTTTGATATTTTCAAAAGAAAATTGTGTATTTAAAGCTTCTTGGTTGCTGCGGATCCTGGGTCCTGGGCAAGAAGTTAATGAGACTTCTTGGCACGACTCGATGCGTTAATGTCTTTTCTTTAAAAATATGTGTTGAATATTTTTCTGCTTCTTTTTTTTTTAAATATACAAAATAGCCGTAATTGCCTTGATGCTACGTCAAAGTTGTTTGGTTGGAAAAATTTAAATCTCTTTGCGGCATCATTTAATGGCTGGCTGTTGAGTTGGGTTTCCGAGAAGCAATTATGTTCATATTTTATATGTTTTCAGGAGCAGTAGCATAAAGTTTGCTTCTGGTTCTTGTTGTTCTTCTTGTTGTTGTTTTGTTTCTTATAAAATGTTGCCTGTGGACGGTATAAGTTGTATGTGTTCTACTTAGGCGTTCAATAAAATAAAGAAAACAAGTTTCCTGGAAAGATAGAAAAAAATAGACGAAGTGTTATTAGTTTTATGTATTGAAAATATTTTAAATTTGTTGTATAAATAATTCATTTATATACTTAAAAAATTAAATTAAAAAAAATATATTTTTTAAAGACTATCTATACTGATAAAGGAGTAAAGTGATTGACTGACTGATTTAACTATTCATCAACGCCCAGGCGAAACGGCTTAAGCTAGAATCTTGAAATTTTGGGTGAGGGCCACACTTGGTCCAAAGGTGGCAGATAAGGCTGGGTTTTTAGAAATTCGTACTAGAACGGTACGAAAAGTACTAATGCGATACCATTTGGCGAACCGGTAGAGCTAGAACTCTGAAATTTGGATTGGTGGTCGGTGATGGAGTGCAGGATAGATGTAGGAAAGGGTTTTTGGAAATTCGAACTATAACTATCCGAAAAGTACTAAAATGTACTTAATTTGGTACAAATTCGTAGCATGTGAATGGATAGAGCTAAAAACTTGAAATGTGGAATGCGAATTAGGATTGAAATGTAGAGTATGTTTAAGGAGATGGTTTTAAAAGCGTGTACTCATGTGTACGAAAAATACTATATGGTACTATATTTGGTACACATTTGATTTGGAGGTACAAATCGAGCTGGTATCCTGAAAATTGAAAATAACATTACCGTCGGATTGTAGGATTGGGATATGTAAGTAGTTTTGGAAATTTTTTACTTATGTGTACGAAAAGTACTGAATCGTACTATAATTGGTACAATTTGGATTTGAGTGAACCGATAGAGCTGGAACAATGAAATTTGGAGTTAGGATCATTGTAGGGATGTAGGATTAGGGTCAGGATTCAGTTTAACAAATGTATACTTATGGGTACTAAATTTGGTACAATTTGAATTTTAGGTGAACCAATAGAGCAAGAATCATGAAATTTTGAGTCAGGATCACAGTGAAGATGTAAGATTGAAATATGTGGGAAATTTTAGAAATGTGTACTAATGTGTACTAAATTTGGTACAATTTGAATTGTGCGTGAACTGATAGTGTTGGAATCCTGAAATTTGGATTTGGGATACATTTTGGTACAATTTAAATTGTGGGTGAAGCGGTAGAGTTGAGTTCATGAAATTTTAATTTAGGATCACTGTGGAGGTGTAGGATTGGGGTATGTATGAAGTTTTGGAAATTGGTACTACTGTGTACTAAATTTGGTACAATTTGAATTGTGAGTGAACCGATGGAGTTAAAATCCTGAACTTGGCTTTAGGATCACTGTGGGAGTGTAGGAATGCGTTATGTAGGAAGTTTTGGAAATTCGTACTACTGTGTACTAAATTTGGTACAAATTAAATTGTGCGTGAACCAATAGAGTTGGAATCCTGAAACTTGGATTTAGGATCACTGTGGGGATGTAGAATTGGGGTATATAAAATTTTTGATTTGTGGGTGAACCAATTTGGTACTTGGATTTGTGGGGATGTAGGATTGGGGTATATAAAATTTTTGGAATTGGTACTACTGCGTACCAAATAAGGTACAATTTGATTTGTGGGTGAACCTATGGAGTTGGAATCCTGAAACTTGGGTTTAGAATCACTGCCTGGGTGTAGGATTGGGGTATATAGGACGTTTTGGAAATTCGTACTACTGTGTACTAAATTTGGTACAATTTAAATTGTGGGTAAACCAATAGTATTGTAATCCTGAAATTTGAATTTGGAATCATTGTTGGGGTGTAGGATCGGGGTATGCATGAAGTTTTGTTGGATGGTTGAAGAGAGTACGTATGGAAATGATGTGTGCTAAATGGAAATTTTGGATTTGGGCGAACCTTTAGATCTCGAACCATGAAATTTGGTACTAAATGGTACTCAAATTTAATTTATGGTCGATATTAATATGTTGATTGTTTTTTTCTGACATATGCAGTTTGCTGTGAAAATAAAATAACATGTTAATACATGTTTATGTATTTCCTACATTCGATAACGAAGTTAAGGGCATATGCTACTTCTATATAAAATTTAAATGTCAAAATTTAAAGCATACTTTTAGGCTCTTTAAAAGAAATTAATAAATATTACTCATACGCATAATTATTATTAATCATACGTTACATATTTCGCCCCCTAAGATAAATAAACTCGAAATTAAATTATTAAAATCAATTTTACTTTTTTAAACTATTTCTTTTAAACTCGTTTTTTTCAGAAAAGTTAACTTCAACATCTATGTGTGTGTCACTGTTATCCTTTTTTTCACTTCATGCCTTGTTGGAAACCATGTCCTCAAAGGATATGTATGTCGGATATATATGTGTGTATTTTCAAGGTTTATGGTTGAATGAACAAGTTCAATGAACTTTATTTTTCCCGTTGCCTCCCCACCTCCTTTCTTTCTCTTTCATGAAGTCGGGGAAAAAACATATTGAGTATTACTGTTCACTTTCTTTGTTGAAACACCCCCAACTCTCAAAATTGTTGTCCTACTTCTCCTCCTCCCCTTTTGATATGCCTTGATTGTCAATAGAAAGAAAATATTATTTATTTATATATGGAAAGCCATTGGCTTTGGAGTAGAACTTGGGAAACGGGAACATACAATGTAATTGACCTAAATAGCTCATTCGTATAATTCGGTGTGCTTCCCGTTCAACTGATTATACATGAATGGGGTTTTCTGTGGAGTTTCCTTTCCTTTCACAGGAGTGATATATATATATTTTCTTTTGCAGTAATGTGTTTAAAGTTTAATGAAATAGGCAAAGGGAAATAAAGGGTTGTCCTTTGGAGAGGTTTTGAATTAAAGTAATTTAAAGTAAAGTAATTTAATATTAAGAAAATTGAAAATGGAAATATTGAAAAAAAAAATTAGTGGGATGATTTGGGTCAAAAAGGCTTGAAAATTATTTTTTAATTCAAATCCCTTTGAAATACAATATCGATACATTTCTTTTAACCCTTTCAGTGTCAAAAAAAAAAAAAAAAATGTTGTTGGAATTAAAATCTAAAATTTTGCATTTAAAAACATATAAAGGCACATAGTTTAGAAAAAATTGCAATTGACATTTTAACCCTCGGACAGTTTCGTCTGTCTTTCAGAAAAAACAAAAACATTAATAGTAACGGTACAGAGGATAACCGAAAAATAGCAAAGAAAGAGAGTACTTTTAAATGTCGAATATATTCGACAAAAACACTGAAAGGGTTAATTCTAACAGTGTTCTACTGTCTTATTGAAAATGCTCCTGTAGGGCGCACACACACAACCTCAGTCAGCGTATGAACACATTTATTTGATTTTCTGCACAATAGAACTCCTGTTGCGAATAATTTCCTTAACACGTGCTTGAATGGTGGTGAAGGCTTTTTTTGGCAGAGTACAAACCAAACACAAACGCACACAATCATACACACACACAAAAATTCGAGTAAATACACATACAAACAAAAAAGTTCCTCCACCCAAAAATATTGACAATGAAAAAAAAAAACACTTTAAGGAATTCCCCTGTATTAACTTAGACTTTCCTATGGCGAATTCTCTCTTCATCTCAAACAAACTCAACCCTCCCCAAAAATTCGAAAACCCGAAAGAAAAACAGGCAAGGTTTCTTTTGCAAAAATGGGCCGAAGTAAAAGAACTTTGTCAAGCTTCCGTTCCGTTTTGTTCCATTTCATTTTTTTGTGTTTTGCAATTTTTTGTTGTTGCCATTTTTTCCGCATTGTATGTCTTCAGTGAAATTTTTTGGAAATTTTGTTGTTTACTTCGAACTTCGTCCTTTTTTGCTAAGGGTTACTCACAGGGAAATTTGTATGAGTGTTCCCTGTTGCTGGCTGGGTTTTTTTGCCTATGGCGGTGCCAGGATACAAGAAGGATATCAATGCCATGGTAAATATACAACAACAACAAAATGCTACAAAAGTATTTGCAAGGTTTTTTTGCTCTACCTCTCTCACTCCAAGTCTTTAGAGAGAGCAGAGACGCTCTATAGTTACGACCTATGGAAATATGTTTTTTATTAAACAGTCTAAAGGACTGCCTCAATTTCATTGCGTTGTTAGCAACATTTGGTGAGATGTTAATTTCGGAAATTAGGAAAATTGAAAATTATAGAAAATTAAAAATATATATATTCTTTAAAAATCTACGCCTTTTGTGGATCATAAAAAAATATGAATTTTTTTAATCCATGTCTTATGTGGATCCTTAAAAAATATATGTTTTTTTATCCACGTCCTGCGTGGATCCTTTTAAAAATCCACGCCTTGTGTGGATGGATCCTTGAAAAAATATTCTTTAAAAAATCCAAGCCTCTTTCAGGCCTTGAAAAAATATTCTCTAAAAAATCCACG